TTTTTTTTTTTTTTTTTTTTTTTTTTTTTTTTTTCTAATGAAGACATAAAAGCAACTATAGACTCTAATACTTAATCTTTACCTTCACATGGATAGCAATTTTCCTCATATTTTCCTTGAATTCCTCTAGAGGTACATGAGGACCAAGGCCATTTGGATTGGGAAGAGTAGAATCGTTACCACCAAAGTATACAATCACCAATGATGGTTGCTCCTTGGCATCCTAAGTTAAAGATTACAACATAGTTCAAAAGGACAAATCCTTGTTTAGTATCTCACTAATTAAGAATCAAAGCAATCACATAACGCAGAGCAAATTAATGTAAATAAAAAATAAATAAAAGTTTGTAAATTATGATGATTAATTTAAGTAAATATTTTTCAGAAGAGAAAAGGATTTAGCACTTAATTTAGATGGAGATGATGGTGAATATATATACCTTGGGAAAAATTATATCCAAAACCTCCAAAGCACGCCTTGAATTCCAAGCAGCGTATCCTCGCATAACTATATCTGCCTATCTCATGTTGTAAGATGGATAAATAAATTAGTCAAAGACCAATTAATGCATTATTACTAAATTATCATACTCTATTTTTCTTCTCATGATTCGGATATACAAATAAATCAATGAATGATGTCCTTGTTGACTTTCTCCATTATAGAATGACACAAATAAATTAATGAATGGTGTCCTTTGTTGGCTTTCTCCATTATAGAATGAGGAGTTTTATAAATATATTTTAATACATTTTTCTTAATGTACTTATTATTATTCTAGAATTTATATGTTTAAAAGAGTGTGATAGAAACTTTATTATTAACCTCTATTATGTAATAAGTGTGGTATTAAATTGTTTTACATAAATAAAAAACATAAACGGATGAAAGTAATTTTTCTTTTCAAAATCAACCTTGCTATTAGTTTTTTTTGTTAGAAATAATGAAACATAACATTTTTTTAAAGAAAATTATTAGATATATAAATAAAAAATAATTAATACTACATTTTAAAAAAACTAAATGAAAATTATTTTGAAACAAAGAAAATAATTAGTCTTTTTTTTTTATTTGATATAGAACGCATATAATCTTCCACTAGCTGTGTATATGATAAATTTATATTGAATTTTATAATTACTTTAAAAATTATATCTAGTATATTTTCTAATCGATTAAAAATGTGAAAATCTTTACATCCACAATACATGAAAATTATTTAAAATATAAGTAAATTTATCGTTAATTACTATATCATATTGCTAATCTATGTGGTATATAATATTAATATTCATTAATAAGATTATTTTTGTCGATAAAAACTATACTAATGAAACTTTTTGTTACTATATCTTTATTAATTTTCATTAAAAGCCCCCCCACCCCCTAAAACCTCAAAATTATAGAGCTATGTTATTTAAAGGTTCAAATTTGCTAAAGGAGGATTAGTTAAACAGAAAAATAAGTTTCTATATTGTTCTATATCTCTCCTTTTTCTGATTAATGGAATGAATAAAGATACAATTAATGTTTGAAGAAGAAGAAAAAAGAAATACCTTACGAGCATACAAGTGAGAAAGTGTTGCTCCCCAACCTTCATAAAAACTGTACTGAACAATTGAAGATCCAAACAACACAAATTGAGGCCTCGCTGTTCCTATCATCTTAGTTCTCTCTCTCTCTCTCTCTCTCAAACACATAAATCATAAAACACACATACCCATGTATGCAATGGGGATGAGAATTTATATACCATTTTTACACACGTTTTCTTCTTTTATAAGTTAAAGTTTTCTCATCCTAAACCGCAACCTTAATTTATTAATTTCTAGCTGTCGTTGTTGTTTTTCTTTTTTTCGAAAGAGACTTGTTTTTAAACTAGCTACCTTGTCAGGGTTTATAATTATTCAGATAAAGTAACAGAGTTGTTAAATGTGCCAACTCAGTTTTCAAACACCTTATTTCTATAATTCTAACCACTAAATTTAAATAATCCACACAATGCAACGTGCATAATATATGTTGGTATCTCTACAGTTATACAATTTTAGTTATACGGTTTATTATTATTATTATATAAAAAGAAGGTTTAATTTTTTTCATTACAATGCTTTGTCAAATATGCAACAGTATTCTTCAAAATTTTGATAAATATTCAATATGTGGACACTCCCTCTTAATTTTTATTTTCTGAATTTACAAGAAACAAGATTTAATATCCGATATAAATCTCTTACCACTTGCATAAACCTAAATTAATTTAGATATTACTCATTCAATATATACATTAATTTAAAGCTACTCTTTAGGCTTGAGACTGACATTCGTTAAAATAAAATAAAATTTGAGCTAACTTGAGTCTTATTTGATAACTTGACTTACATGCAAACCTTGTTTGATTTTAAGGTTTATTTATAAAAAAATTGTGATAAAGTCGATAAAAAGACCGTAACGCTTACTAGTCTATATAAACCTATTAGCTTAAATAGGACTTAGTAATTTTACAATTTTATATTATAATGTATATAATATTAATTTGTATTATATATATATATATATATATATATATATATATATATATATTAAATAGGCCACTAAGTTTGATAGGTGTTTTTGAAAGCTCGATGTATGACCTTTTTATTTAAATAAATATTTATTTGAAAGACATAAGCTTGTAATGAATAAACGTATAATTATATTAATTAAAGTCGATAATTATTAAATATTTAATTATATTATAGATTTATCATAAATAGTTTACACTGTGATCTAATAAAAATAAATTTAATTTAGAAGTGAAGATGAAAGGAATAAATTTAAAGAAAAAAGTAATTAAAAAGTTAAATATATGAGAGTGATAATGACTCTCAAAAGCACTCTTGTATAAGAAAAATGCTCTCACCAAATAATAATTTCTATAAATTATTTCATTCGCGATAATTATTTAATGTATATAATAATAATAATTATTATTTTTATAAATAACAATGCTCTTCTCGGTCAATCCAATGGTTTGGAAAGAGAAACACGTTTATTTATTTTTTTCTTTTTCTCTTAAGGGTGGCTTAATGATGATATGGATACGAATTTCAACATATATAGTTTATCCCAAATGTCAAATGATAATTAAATAGGTGGCAACAAATCAAAGAGTGAGTAAATGGATTGGCAGAAGAATCAACTTGAATTTTATTATTTGAATTTATTGCATGGCAAGTGGATAAGATGATGAGTTTGTGACATAAGACATAAGATAAGATTGAGAATATCTCCGTGAAGCAACAAATTTGCTAACCACCACTCAAAGACTTGGCCTACCTTAATTAGCTAATATTCCAGTCATTCGGTAAGAACTAGGGAGGGATTATTTTTTTATTCTTGAGAAGAAATATAATGATTGGAACGATAATTTTTTATGTATATTAAAAATGTGTTTCGTTAGTGGGAAACGTTTTTATAAAAGTGACTGTGTGAAGAAAGTTAAAATGAATAGAAGTAAAAATTTTAATTGTTATGTCATGGAAATTATCAGCTTGCTTGTCTCTTTTATTTTTGGGAATATAAAATTTGTAACCTTGTAATAAACATGACTAACCATATTTCCTGTTCATTTATTCCTCAGAATGTCGAAAGATAATTTGAAACGAATGCTCTCTTGTGTTTCAAAACTAAAACTATATTTATTTAAGAAAATAATGATATGCTATTTTCATTCCCGATTATATTTGTTGATATACCATGGTGTTAAATTAGTGAAATGATATATTTAATAATTTTTTTATAAAATATAAATTTAGCTTATTTAATTATTGTATTTGATAATATTATCTTAATGATTACACATATATCCAATTTTAAATAATTTAAACTCTTTTTGGAATATTATTTATAATAGTAATGGAAGGGTTGAGATAATATACATAAAATTTTAAGTTCAAATTATGGTATCGTCATTATAATTAATTATGATGGATAAAAACAAAAGTAAAGTGATAAGATGAATTATCAAATTTTTTTAATTTTATGGATTTTTTTACATTTAATTTAATTATAAAATCATCAAATACAACGATTCAATAAGCTAAATTTACAATTTATAAAAAAAAATATTGAGGATGTCATTTTATTAATTTAATACCTCAATTTTTAATATCATCTTTTAATTATTCTCTTTATTATTTTTATTTATTACAAAAATGACTGGAGATGAATCCACCATGAGGATTTATTCTTTGAGGAATTATTAAATCCTAGATTGCTCGGATTTATCACATATATTTTTTAAAATTCAAAAAATAATTATGGACAACTCATAATATTTTCATTGATCTATTATTCACCTTTACATCTAGCATTGGATAGACTCCATATAATAATTATTATAGCTCTACCCTATCTTTTATTTTAGTTATTTAACAATAATAATAAAACCTTTTTGAATTATGAATACAAGAATCCAAATTCAATATGTAATTTTAATATTTAAAGACGTATCATTTTATGTATCATAATGAAGAAATGGGACACTAAATTTGTTTGGTTTCAGACTTGGTATAACTCAAAGTCATGATTTTGATTGTTTTAATCTTTTGGAACAACTCAATGAATTTAGTAAATATTTTTAGCAGACTCTAATGACTATAGAAAAGACCTATCAAATTTTTATAGTACAATGATTGATTGTTCACGCAAAATATTAATTCATATCAATTAATGTAGGATGAACTTGTCCTACATTATTTTACATATACCAAAAAAAGTTAATAAATAAATAAATAAAAATATTAATTTTACAAAATTAATCTTATAATTAGTTTTCTTTAATAACATTCGTCTTATTTTTATTAATTTTAATAAGTTAGTTATTTGTTTCTTGGATTTAACTTTTTTTAACTAAGAGAGAATACTTTAAAGAATAAAATAAACATTCATACAAAAATAAAATCTAAAATTAATTTATTAATCAATGATTGTTATTGCACTTTATTTTTTAAAATACAATTATTTGTTTATAGGAGTTAAATCCTTGTTTCTTATATAGAGTATCGGTGGGAGTAGTTTAGTTTTGTCTTCCTCTTTGGCCTACGTCAAGTCTCTCATTTTCCACAACCACCATTCTACTTCACTCTCAAACTACCATTACTTTGAACTACCTCTCTCTCACTTCTCTTATCAAACCACAATGAATAATAATACACTCTAGCCACCACACCTCATTAAATCCTAATGGGTTCACACGCTGCCACCAAACTCAATTGCACTCATAAATTTATCAATTTTAACGTGATTTACGAAGCATAAGCCATACCCAAGTTGTGGAAATGGAAAAATTGTCAACCATAGGTAGAGTTCCGCTACTATAATGCCTCCACCAATCCATTTATTTTATAACCTTAGTTAAAAACAACCACAAAATGGTGATAAAACAATTAGGCAATTGGCTCAATCAATGTCCAAGTATTTTGGTCACCAGTTCACCCCACTTATATGGTGAAAATCCAATGACAAATGATGCATATATGTGAGCCAAGATGGCCATGTCTTTCTTTAGGCACGATTCTAAGTTGCTGCTATTTTGTGATTATTGCAGAAGGATTCTTGGATTGGGGCATGTCTACAGTTTTCAAATACACATAAGTCTACTCCCATTCCTTATGTTCAATGGTGATCACGTTGGAGATATTAATATTTGTCTTTCCATCAGGACCAATTGGATCATAAGGTGAATCTTCTGCATATTCAGTTGGCATTGACTTCCAGTGCAGGCTAGGTTCCCATTCTGCTTCTTTGAGGGCCTTCAATATCTCTTTTGCAACTATGTTGCTCCCCTCACAAGTCAGATGAACTCCATCCCTATCAAACACCACTCAGCCAAATGAAGGATAGGAAGATTTGAACATTCTCAATTAAGATTTAATGGCATATGACTGAATGCATGCATACTTACGTGAAGCAAACATCTCTCCAGTCATCCCTTTTCTGGAGTGCAGACCACAGATCAATTGCCTTGATATCCATCTCGCGACAGAGCTCCAAACATGCTTCTGAGTATACTCGACAGGATTCATTTGTCCTTAATCGCTGCCCCGGTAAACTGGTTAAAACTCCAAAATATTACTCATCAGAGTTAAGATTTAAATATAAATACCAAAAAAAAGAAGAAAAAAAATTGAAACAAGGATGTTAAATGGTCTAGGAGAAAGTCATGGTCCTCGCAGAGTGCACGCGGAATATTTTGTACTAATACCATAGTTATTAAAAATGTCCTAGAAAGCAACCATTCATCCTCTGAACTTGCAGTGTGCTTGATGTATATCAATTCAACTGCTATTTGTTTCAAGTGGAAGATGTCAAATTTTAGATACAGCCGCTCTATGTTACTCAAGGTGAATCTAAGTTCTGAAAAACAATATAAATCAGATAAACTTTTGGTAACAGATTTTATTTATATAAAGCTAGATCTACTTCATGACTTCTATGGCTCAGTTCTCTGACTACCCTTAGTATTGGTATTTTGTTTGTCATTATATAATCATAGTCTTGAGTCTTGACCCATGTGCAGAAATCACAAGCATGCAGTTATCTGCCTATTCTTTTTGTGAAATTATAATAATTCAAAACGCAATAACCTGTTTCTATAAATTTGTGCCTCGTTGACAGGAGGGGCACTGAGAAATATAATGCGAGTCTTCTTTGAAAGGCTCTGGCAATCATAAGAACTTATGTTAAACTTGGCAGTACAGTAAATATAGAAGTGGAAATTCCGAAAGCAGTGCACAAAAAATACTTGAAGGTTGAAGGGTTTCATTCATATATAAGTGTACACAAGAAATACTTGAAGCTTTCATTCATATAATAATAAGTGTGTTATTTTAGAATGAAAGTTTACCTTGAGATGGACAGCAATCTTTCTCATATTTTCAATGTATTCTTGGAGAGGTACATGCTGACCAAGGCCACTTGGATGCGGAAGAAGAGAATCATTACCACCAAAGTACACAATTACCAATGATGGTTGCTCAGTGGCATTCTAAGTTGAACAAGAGGACAGAGCAAAAGGGTAATTCCTTGTTTGTCAGTCTGAGCAAGAATCAGAGTAATCATGATTTGCAAACCATAATCTTAAATTTAAAAAAGCTACAAATTTTGACAATTAAGTAGTTCATTGTAGTACATTGATATTGTAAGATACAAAATAATCTTCCTAGTATGTCCAAGTTCATTTCTACTAAAAGTTGAAGATATCATGGGCAAGATTACTCAAACCACTCAGTAGCATACCTAGTCACTTTCCAACTCTTTTCCGAGATGCCATTTTTTAAAATTTATGATGAAAGGACAAAAGATTCAAGATGAAGCAAGAGGAGGGAATTCTGAATCAACAGTAGCATTCATATTGTCAATACCTTTGGGAAAATTTCATCCAAAACCTGCAGAGCACGCCTTGAATTCCAACCAGAGTATCCTCGCAGAACTATATCCGCCTATGTCATGTCAAGGTGCAACAAGTAGAATTCAATGCCATCATAATCAATCCCACAAAAGCACACATAAAATGTAATTATTTCACTCAATCATCAGCTGAAATTTAAAAAATCAAGGCATTTTATATGCAGTTGTATTTGAAACAGTTAGATATTATTCTAATACCATGGCCCTGTACTGGAACCAAAAAGGGGTGAATAGTGAAGTAGACCCACCACTCACAATAATTCTTCAATATGGTGATTTGCTGGCAGCCAATAAAAGCATTCCTCAACATTTCAGCAGTCAATAATTTAGGTTTATCTTAAATTTTAATTAGAACTCATCTAGCATATTTTCAATAAGTTGGCCCACCAATTGAAAAAAAAAAAAAATCTGCATTACTATCTAGCAAATTTTGCAATTATTGGTAAATGACTCTTTTTGTTTACCCCAAATAAGAACTCATCATACTTACTCTTGTAAACAAAACACAACCCTCTGAAAAATCAACCAAAAACACGCAATTCTCAACATAGGCTCAACCAGTAGCCAAAATTTAGAAAACAACAAAACAAGTGTACATGAACTTAAAAATTGAGAGCTTCCAAACCAATCAAATTTATGGGGTACCGTAGAATTTCTCATATCAATATTTAACAGAACAAAACAAGTGTAGATGAATGATCTGACAGAGAGAGGGGTTTGAAGGTACCTTACGAGAGTACAAGTGAGAAAGAATAGCGCCCCAACCTTGGTGTTGGTGAGAGTAACTGAGTTGAACAATGGAAGAACCAAAGAGCACAAACTGAGGCCTCACTGGTCCCACCATCTTTTTTCTCCTTCTTTTCTATCACTCAAACTCTGAAATTGAAACGGATAAGTAGTTGAATTGAGTCAGTGTAACTGAGTTTAGTTAGCCTCTACTCTGCCTACTTTTGTAACAGACTACGAGAAGGAAAGAGACATACAATAACATTAAATAAGGCTGCACTTTAGGATTTAAGAGCCATTTACGGAGATACCAAGGTAAAACATGGACTATCAAAAAAAAAAAAACAACAACAATAAAAACAAATGTATCCACCCTTGTTCGAGGACCACATTGTTTTTTATTTTATTTTTCTCTCAACTTGCTTATATCGTTTCAGTTTTTTTTTTACTCAAAATAATCAATACGATTAGAAATCTACTTCCTTCAAAATTAAATTTTGATAGATTTATTCGGTAAATAATTATTTTTATTTAATAACTTAATTAAAAGTTTTTAATGCATAAATTATGTTTATAATTTTTTAAAAAAATTTAAAATTATTTAATGCTTGAATATATTAATTCAAATTGATAAATAATTATAAAAATATTTTATATATTGATTTAAATTTATATAATTTAATAATATCATGAATATACAACAAATGATTTTTATTTTTTTTAATTTATAAACTTAATTTATTTATTAAGAATTTTTAATTTAAAGATTATATTGTTGAAATTTGATATAGTGAATGAATTATTAAGTAGAGTATATTTATTGAGACTTACTTTTAGAATAAATGAATTTTTTCGTTCTCTATATATAGATAGATAGATGTAGAGAAGGAATCCACTTATTACATGAGTAAGTCTTTTTAGATTTATTTTACTCAATAATTCACGTTTTACGTCAAATTTTAATTATCTAATTGTTAAATTAAAAGTTTTTAATGCATAGATAAAGTCTGTAAATTTTAAAAAATTGAAAATTATTCAATACTTCACTATATAAATTTAAATCAATGTACAAAATGTTTTTTATGATTATCCATCAACTTAAATTAATGAAACTAAGTATCAAATAATTTTAAAGTTTCTAAAAATTTTACAGACCTGATCTATACATTAAAAACTTTTAATTTAACGGTTATATTGTTAAATTTTGAGGTAAAACATGAGTGGATCCCTCCTCATATATACAGCAAGATCCATTGATAGCAAATATAAATCTAAAAACTTATATCAAATCTTATACCTTTAGTAACTTCTTATATATGCAATCAATTCAATCGTTGGATTATGTGATATTATATTTAAGATCATGTATACTAAATGAATTTAGAGTAATGTGAAATTTGATATACATAATCTTGAATATAATATAAATTAATGGTTGGATTGGTTAAATCTGTATACAAAAAATTATTGAAGATATAAGATTCATTATAATTTTTTATTAGACTTACACCTAGTGTCAACGAAGTATGACTCTCCCTCTCTACACACACACACACACACACACACGCACACACACGCACACACACACGCACACGCGCACACGCACACACACACATAAACACACACGCAGACAAACACAGACACAAACACAGACACAGACACAGACACACAGACACAGACACAGACACAGACACACACAGACACACACAGACACACATAGATACACACAGACACACAGACACACAGACACACAGACATACAGACACACACACACACACAGACACACACACACAGACACACAGACATAGACACAGACAGACAGACACACACACACACACACAAACAGACACAAACACACAGATACAGACACAAACAGGCACACACACACACACAGACACACACACACACACAGACACACACAGACAGATACACACACACAGACACACACACACACATATATATAAATGTATGTCTGTGGGTGTTTATATATATATATATATATATATATATATATATATATATGT